CGAGTGACTGTTGTGAGCGCCTCCCGATTCAGGTAGGGTCGCAACTGGCGCACCAGGCGAACCTGGGCGAATGCCCCCCTGGTCACAGTTCTAGCACAGTTCTAGCACAGTTCTAGTTCTAGCAGTTTCATTGTTGTGTGTGCCAGCACTTGTAGTGCAAAACTCTAGAAACCTCAATAGCCGAGCTTGCATATTGACCAAAAGTCTGAATTCAACCTCCCAGGCCTTGGATGCTCACAATAGAGAATTGAGACAGGTTTGAGAAGCAACACTGGAGAACCATGCAACTATTTATTACTTCTTGTTGAGGAATAACCATGGCTGTGTGGAGTTCCATATGTGTTGTTTCAATTTAAACAAAAACTCAGAATTTATAGAGAGTGATATACGGTGTCTCCAAAAAATATTGGCTATGAAAAATCCCCTTTTGGTCTATCAGGACTCTTGTTGTATCTCCCAGACCTCCATTGGTTAAGGGCTCTCCTCCTAGGAGCCATCATGGTAGTCCTCATAGTACTGTATTTTGCAGGGCATGGATCATCAGGATGTCCTCTTTGTTGGCTTCCTGCAAGGCATCATCTCCCTCTGGCATCTGGCGACAGTCACCCCTGGGGGTTGCTCCTATGGATCTTCCATGCATCCTAATAATATTTTTTATCTGAAGTATTTAATCTAAACTTTACAACTTCTCTAATTCCAATCTGTCAAATTGTGTATGTATTTCAAAGGTCAGTCTGAGGATTGGCCTAAATGATGAAGATTTATATTGAATGATAATATGTATTTATTTCCTAGGGAAGAAAAAGAGCAGTGGATCCAGGCCAAATATGAGCAAAAACTCTTTCTTGCTCCATTGCAATGTTTAGACCTTTGTTTAGTTCAGCGACTACTACGAGCATCTGCAGAAGAAGATTTGCAGACTGTCATCCTGCTTCTTGCACATGGAACACATGAAGAAATGAATGAAACCTGTGGAGAAGGGGATAGGCGATCAGCTTTACATTTGGCTTGCAGGAGAGAAAATGTCATATTGGTGCAGCTCTTAATTTGGGTAAATAAGTAACACATGGATTTGAAACAAGCTTGATAAAAATGTTCAAATTGCCAGTGTCAATGAATTAGATAGCTAGATGCTCTTGCATTTGCTTTCAATAGAAGAAAATCCTGGTATGAGATATATTTTTTATTAAAGACACAGTCCTGCTATGACTGATACACCTCAAATCTATTTTGGATTCTCTTATGATTGATTTTGGTGCAAATCTTAAGATATGATCCTCATGTCATTTTGATATGAATTCACTCAGACCAAACATATAAGAGCAGCAATGTAGTTCCAGGGTTTCTTTAGAAAAGGATGTTGCAAAAGCAGCTTAGATTTAAAATCCCCAGATAAGAAATTGGTAAAGTGGACCTTATTTTAATGAAAAGTCTTTTTCTTATAGACTTTTCTGCCTGCTGCTATTCAGAAGTGATTGCAGGGCTTGAAATGTTGTCTATTCTTTCCACAATATGGTGTTGATGTTATGGCACGTGATGCCCATGGAAACAGTGCTTTAGCCTATGCAAGACAAGCAACAAGCCAAGAATGCATTGATATCCTCCTGCATTATGGTTGTCCAGATGAACACTTTGTCCTTATGGCTACTCCCAATTTATCCCGGAAGAATACTAATAAGAACAACACCAGTGCAAGGATGCCTTCCATCATCTGAAAGATTTAGTTCTTCTCCTTCTTCTACAACCTTGTATTAGCTTGGAAGTGGAAATCTATATGTGTCTAAAAAAATTGCTTCTCTTCCTCCTCTTTTCATTTCCACCAGGATATTGTTAAGTAGCACTGAAAGTATTAATACACAAGGAAAAAAGAATTACAGAAACCATATATAGTAATACAATGATTTTGAATGAAACAAAATATACAAGGGAGAAGATAAAGAGGGATTATGGATGTACTAATGAAATAGTTCATGCCGGGGGACCATTTTACCGGATGTCTCTAGGTGGGGTTTTTAGGAGTATTGCATGAGAGTTACTGGAGAGAGACAATACAGAGAAAAGGAGGAAAAAATGGTAACTTTCTTTAACTGACAGTTAAGCGCATTCATACATTTCATCTCCACCAAACTGAACATTTGGGTTTCATTCTCTTTTCCAAAGAGCTTGACAGCATAAATCAGAGGAAAGCACAGAGTTTGTCAGGTCTGAAGCTCCTATGATGGTATGTGTCAAATCAGTTGTAGCTAATCTGTCCAGAGAGAATACTGGCTTCATTACACTTATATAGTTGAGTTCTTCCAGCAGTACTGCTGTTTAATAGAACATGATTAGTCATCATGGAGAAAAAGGCATATTAGCCGAGGAGGTAGTTACATGGCACGCTTCAGTGATTGCTTGGATGTGATTGCAATATTCTTAGAAGCATCATATTATCTCAGACAAGTTCTTTCAAGCACTTGGAGCCTTCCTTTCTAAATCCACTGTCATAATTTAGTATCTGTTTAATTTTTCAGTCCAAAGAGAGAAAATCAGTTGCTGAGCATTATTTGACTACAGCCTCATTGGTGGAAAAACAAAATAGAAAAAAATAAAAATAGCCATGAAATACAAAGAAGAATAATGAATACTGCTAGGGAAAATATATTTCATGTACATTCATGAGAATAACTATATAAAAAGCCTTCTTTTTAAATAGTGTCATTTTCATCAAGATAAATTAGCTGGGATCTTTCATGTGCATTTCCTAAATTAAGCAGATCTTGCAATGTATTCCTTGGCTAAAAGTATAAAAAAAATGAATTAGAATTCTAAATGTGCATAAATATGCATTTATTTTTAAAGTACATACACGTTTGTTCATTTATAAATTGCAATTAATGTAAAATAATTTGCAGAGAGTAATAATCTAAGGATCACAGATCATAATGATAAATCATGGAAACAATGCCAGATTTTTTATTCCTTTGATGGAGACCACAACTGATTATAGTATTGGCACATGTTTGTTTATATAAAAATGGTCATGAAATATGATTTGGAAGGGCAGGATATTGTGCTTCCAGAAGCACACATAACCACTTTTTATTGTTGTGACACTGCATACTCTGAGTGGAGAAAGACTGAAAACTATAAGCAAAGAATGCAAAAAATGAGCCATGTCCAGAGGTGGGTTCTTATCAGTTCAGACCGGTTTGGCCGAACCGGTAGTAGTTTGGCGGTCTGGGTCATTGGAACCGGCAGTGCCCAAGGCCTGCCACACCCCCGAACCAGTTCTCCTATGGCACCGCCATGTTACGCAGAACAATTTTTATTGCACTTCAGGCACGGCGCACACACAAGCAAACCAGCAGTAGTGCCTGCCGGAACCCACTCCTGTCCTAGTTACTTTGATACTACTCTTTTAAAGAGAATATGGCTTCTTGCATTCCAGAACAATTTGGCTGAATAAGCTGACTTTGGAAGAATTTAGCGTTTAATTATAGATTATAATCATTTCATTATTTTAAATGGCACAAAAATATTTCTTGTTTTTTCTTTCTTTGTATGAGCAAAGAAAAACATAATATTATAGACAATGAAGATTTGTTAATACTAGATTTAAAAAAAGTCATAAACAATTTTTTTAATGACCAACTGAATAGTTCCATTATATATTTTTTTTGTTTGAAGGGAAAGTATTTGGAGAAATATGGCATTGGATTACAAATGTATTGATAAGATAAAAAAGATTTTGAACTGTTTCTTGAAAAATTAAGAAATAGTTGATTTACTTATTTATTGGCATGTTATTCCTTGGTTTTCTGTTTTCATATATTGTGTTTCTCAACATTTTAAAGGGATAGAAATTCTTTGTGATAGCAATCTTACAACATGAATGTAAGTTTTGTTTTGGAACATATTCAAGCATATGAAAGTGTCTGCAGCAAGCCAAGTTTTGTCAAAATGGTTACAATGTAAATTATAACGATGTCATGAATGCAGTATAAAAGAGGTGGAGTTTGCATTGCAATCTTCAGTCACATATTTTATGAGTTGCTCCCTTGAGCCTGCTGTTTATGAAATAAACACTAGTTTAAAATATCTTTTTTCACAATTCATATTTGATAGCACTACCTATTACGTTCAATTCACAATGTAAACTAGCTGACATGTTCTTGAATACCTCCACCAATTGTAGGGGAAGGACAGAACATATACTGTCTTTCAAAGTGGCACTGGACTTCTTTTAAGTGACACTAAAGCAGGCCAATCAAACTGGCAGTTCACGGGATGGATACGGCCCACACAGGCCACACCCACTCCGGCTCCACAAAGGCAAAAAACATCACAATATGTCACAATACGACCTGCAATGTAATCAGGTTTGATACTCCTGCACTAAAGTATCATCTCAGTGAAGAGGTTGAGAAAGTTATCAAGCATGAACTTTCGCTTTTAGTTATAGTTATCCCCAAGACTGCATGATCTTAAAACTATACAGCATTTTTTGTAAACGTTCCCAAATTACAAGATTTCTCAATCAAAAATACTTTTTTTCAATAGTTTCATAAATTTAACTTTTTTAAATCACTTTTTTAATTATTACTTTGAATCTTTTTGTATGAAACACTAAGGATCAGTTTATTTTCATTATAAAATTGTAGGCAAGTGGGTAGGAAGAAAGGAACTTAAGTTGATGGAAGTATTTAAGATTTCTATTGAGAATATATACCACAAACCCAGAATAATTCCTACAATTACAGAATTGTAATAATTAAGTTTGGATTAACACCATTATTTTGACCTAAGTGAAAGTGTTTAATGTTAGTGAGGGGTTTTGAAACTCTCTAAGGAAGTTTTGTGAGATACATTCAAGGTTTAGGACATCCCTCTTGTTATCCTGCTATAGTTTATATATATCTACACTGGAAAATTTTTAGATGAACTCTTCATAAGTGATTCTTCTTAATAAAACTACCTTGAATTGATCCTTGATGACCACATTGACTAATCTATGTTGTTTTTTTGGCAACAATTCAGAGGGCAAAAAATACAAGGAAACCGGAAGTGACATCCGGGTTGCTCATAGGGCCAATTTTAGCACTCCGGAGTCTTCAGGGAAGCCTCCTGGAGGCCCCTGAAGGCTCTGGAGGGCTAAAACCAGCCCTATGAGCAAACTGGAAGTCTGTTCCCGAACTTCCAGTTTGCCCATAGGGCCGGTTTTTCACGCGTCAGAGGCTTCAGGGAAGCTCCTGAAGTCTCCGGAGGGTCTCCGGGGGGCGGGGGGCTATTTTTGCCCACCCCAGGCTCCTATAAAGCCTCTGGAGCCTGGGGAGGATGAAAAAAGCAGTCCAAAATGGGGGGGGAGTACTGGTCGTGCATGTATGCACACTGGAGTCATTCGCAAAGCATTATGGGTGTGGCACATGACCCCCCTGCGCTTCCCCTGCTTTTGGCACACGAGCCAAAAAAGGTTTGCCATCGCTAGACTAGACAGTAGCAAGTAAACTCAGGCAAGTGCAAATCCTACTTCTTGATTTTTGATTTTTGTTAGCATTTTCACTGTCTTGTGAATATGTTGCTATATTTGTCACATTTTGAATCAAGCATTCTCCTATATATCATACCTGATTCCTTCCTAATTTGGATATCTGTATATCTGTGGCTATATACATATTTAAAGAACACTATCCCCAGTTTTTAAGGAAATAATTACCAAATATCCCTGATTTATTTTATAGTTTGTAAACTTGTCAGATACTGCAAAATAATTTGATTTCATTTAGAAAAAGAATTCATTATCAAACAATATGTCTAGGTATGGATTGAGATCTGTACTGAATTCTGATAGTAATTTAAAAGGACAAATTTATTTCTAAAACCATTGGCAATTATTTAATCATTTCACTGTTTCTTTTTTTTAAATTTAAGAAAGTTTTTATTTTTAGACAGACATAGACAAACAGAACATAAAACATAAAGCCTTCTTCAATTGCATACAGTGTGTCAATTGCTTACAAGGTTTTTGTGATCCTTTCCATAGTCATCACTTATAATTTATATGAAATCACATATTATCAAATCAAATATATTTGTGTACATTATTATCACTGTACCTCATTTATTTGACTATCACTATTATTCCTTCATTTTAAATAAGATATTCTAGGTATTGGATTCATTTATATTCTAACAATTTATTACATCATCTTAAATCTATCCAATAATAATATATTTTATGTTATATTCTGTATCATTCTATTATTCTTGTATTTATTACATTCTCTAATATCTTTCATTTCCATGTAATTGATGAAATTAAAGGCCATCTTCCATATACATTATCATTATAAAAATAAAACACAAACATCCTTCACATTCTATACAATTGAATTTAAAACTGATATTGCATTAATATTGCACTATACAGTAGAATTCAATATAGTTACTGCCTTGGGATAGAAGCTGTTTTTTAGCCTATTTGTCTTTGTTTTCATTATCCTGTACCGTCTGTCAGATAGTAATAGTTCAAAAAAAAANTGTGATGGATGGGCTTGATGAAGTGATACCAGTTTCCCAATGTCTGGTTTTAAGTCACTTAGCAGGAGTCTTAAATCACCACGTTCAGTAATCTGTGGTATATAAGTCTAAGTGCTCTTGCTATTAAAATAACAGGACTTATTCCTAGTAAAGGGTTACTTTTTCTCTTTTTCAGTGATGGTTGATGGCATTCTTT